CCCCAGACCCCCCNCCATAAGTTACAACTCCCCTCATAGACCAAGAGGCACGCACTGCGTTGGCGCGTTTTCGTTCATGTGCGCACTCTTCATGCACATGCATAGATAGTTCTGGCACTGTGTCTGAGCCCGCTTGGCACTGCGAGCGCTCGGGTTGGGCGCCTCGCCGCATTCGTTGTTGTCGAGCTGATTGGGTGACAGCTTGCGCTTATGCTGATCACAACCGCCATGGAAGGCAGGGGTAATGGCGCCCGTGTCATCGGTCGCCGCTGGCAGCAACACCATTGCCGATGCATTACCGACAACAGCACCACCGTCCCAAACGCCTTTATCAGGAAACATTTCAGGCTTATCTTGCTGTTTTGGTGTTTGTTCGGCGTTCAAGTCGTTGCCTTTTGCGTGTTTGGCTATGTAAGGACCGGTCATACATTCTGCTATGCCGCGTTGACTCACGGGCTTGACCTTCTTACGGCCCCTCGTATCTATTCTATGATCGATAATACTAAGTTCTGCACACTACGGAGCAATCTGGCAGCAATGGACGTTTTTGGCTGGAGGAATGAAAATGTACGGATCGGCCTCAATTTGTTCCTTATTTCCAAAGGCCAAAATGGCCTCTTAATTCCTTAAAAGGAATATATTACTTAAAAAAAACACTGCTCCCCACCTATCCAACCTCACACGGATCCTCCCAGATCACCGCCCCTCACCTACTCACGCTCACATACCTGCTGTTGAATAAGCACCAGCCGTTTGGCAACCTCGGCGGCAGCGGGCCGCCGCTCCGGAATTTGCTCCCAGCAGGATTCGATCAGGAGACGTAGCTTCGGGGGGCAGCGGTCCCGTGGCACTGCCTCAAGGGGCGGTCGCTTGCGGTATATGGCCACGGACAAGGCGATCACGACGATATGGAGGCCAGCCCAGGGCCGCACGCCCGCCAGCATTTCCCAGATTATGATGCCCAGTGCATACACGTCCTGTGTGACATATATACATACATTCATCATGTCCTGGGTGCAGATTTTGTGTACTGTGCATTTTCTGTCAACTGCTATTCCCGCAGCCGGCCCTTGCCCGGCCCTTGGGCCCGCTCATGTCTGTCTGTCTGTATGTATGGGCTCTCATTGCACCATTCGTGTCATGTGGGTAAAACCCAATTCCAAAAGGTATTCCAGAACACGTGTATGCGCACGCATGCGTCTAGACATATGAGTACTCATCGTGCCAACATGCTGGAACAGTATCGCCGGATGAAGGAGCAGTACATACATACAGACATTCAGTGTACGGTCCCATTTCCCGTCGGCTTCTCTCCTCTTCCTTGGCTTTTTGTTTCGCCTCGTGTGCAGGTTCACTTCCCTTGTGCGGTTGCGGTTGCGGTTTCCATAAAGGCACACACGGCCTGTTAACCGTATGTATGTATGTATGTATGTATGTATGTATGTATGTATGTATGTATGTATGTATGTATGTATGTATGTATGTATGTATGTATGTATGTATGCAGCCAACTGCGAGCGTGCAATAGCTACTGTTAATAACACATATTGGAATTCGGTGGTACTGATACGAAGTATTTACTCTCCAGTCGACATGTACGAGTCAGCCCAAAGGGTGAAGGCTACTACTACTACTAGGGCCGCAGCTGGGCCCAGTTCAACTACAGCCCATATCTCAGCTGAAATGAGCGGGGAGGTCGAGGGAGCGGACTGCTGCGTATTGTCGTCGCCGTTGTTACCAACAAACGGCACATGCTCACGTGCATCATGCCCCGTCATGTGTGCTCGTGTTTCTTCTGTTCCATCGCTTACCACACGATCCGTGATTCGGTTGTTGCAGACGTCAAAGGCCTCCGGAGCGATGTACTGGGCCTGAAGAGTTTCAAGGGAACGCGGTGGGGGGATCCGTTGTACGGGGGAGGGGTGGGAAAGACGAACCACACACGAGAGTGAAGCTGCTGCCAGGGCAAGAGTGCACCAAACTTAGAACTGACCGAAAGGCGTCCGCGAAGACCGCGACCGCGCGGGTGGGGGGGAGTGTTGCATGTACGGAGCCCCGCCAGACGGGATGGAAGCCGGAGGAAGAGGATTGGCCAATTGGTATGAAGGAGGGAAAGAGGGACAGCACAGCCGCTACTACATCCACATCCACATCTAGGTGGATGACCCCGTATAAATCGCAGAGGTGTTTCCTAAACAAGCCATATAGTGTACCAGCGTCCCGTTGACAGCCCGACATCGACGCCGCACTACCACTCACCGTACCGACTTCAGGATTTCGGGTGATGAGGACTGTGTCGCGGAGTCGGGATAGCCCAAAGTCCTAAAGGAAAGGAACATATAAATAACAGAAACACAGAATCAAACAAGCAAGAATCGAATTGAAAGGGCTTCGAGTAACGAGCACTTGTTATGGGCCCGCGGGTAGGTGCACGCCGTACAGTACGGCACATGGACTACACGTATACATGTGTATACGTCTACAGTGCAACTTACAATGCATGGCGTCGCGAGTACGAATATGATATATTTAAGGGATAGGGTTGGCACGGGTACTATATTAGAAAAGAGTACTATACTATAATAGTACTATGCATAGTACTACATAGTGTGCAGGGCTCTAAACTGGAACTAGTTTACGACGCTCGTACATAGTAAAATAATATAGTAAAAATAGTACTAGATAGTACTAGATTTATTAGTTGGACCAAGTCGAGATCTGGAGTCAAGCTGTATTTTGAAGGGCTATAGCCGCGTCTTCGAGCTGTGCTACGTAGTTTTGATGAATAATGTCAAGGGAATCCAGTATAAAGAATGACAAGGCGATCAGAGGCTTGCAGGAGCAGGAAGCACAGCAGCAGCAGCAGGGCACCCAGGGAAACGTACATCCCTAACACGCAGATTGATGACTGAGCGATGATAGGTTGAGCTGCTGCAGTTTGCCGCATTGGAGGGTTACGTACTGGGCCGTTGTAGTGCAGGAACTTCACTAGTATGGCGTCCGTGTGTTGTCTTGTGAACACTGGGTCTTCTATCTGTGATTATGTCTTAATGTGCCATAACACGCCTTGAGACATGGGGTTTGGGGTCCACCCACCGGGCACTGAACTAACAAAAAGTGATCTGGATGACCGCAGCGATCTGCTTTCTAATGTCTAAGTACATATTTAGAAAGAACACGGTGTAATTTTCAGGTACACCGGTTGGCCGTACACCCCCCTTCTACTGGGAGCGTGTACCTGCCTAGTAATAGTATCATAGTACTACATTACTATATATAGTACTATTCCTTAATATACTATGCTATTTGGGTTTTAAAATATAGTATTTTTGCCAACCTATTAAAGGATATTTAAAGAAAAGATATTGCTTTGTACACGTCCAATACGCACACTCACTGGAGGCAGCTACTTACTGCGATTTTTACGGTGAGGCGACCTGTGTTCGGATCCGAGCGGGAGATGAGCACATTGCCTGGCTTCAAGTCTGTGTAGGCAGACAGACAGGCAGACAGGCAGACAGACAGGCAGACAGACATAAACGCATGAAGGCGGGGATGCAAGAGCTATTCAGTGGATTGCGTAAAACTACCCTTTTATGTGTGTACATATTATGTATGTATGTATATTATGTGTGTATGCTATCTGCGTGATGTTTTGAAGTACGTAAGTAGGGGCGAATAACTTGGGTTTTTTTGGTAATGTTAATTGGTAATTGGTAATTGGTTAATTTTTTTTGGTAATGTTATTTAGCCATCTCGGGCCGCCCTAGACTGGGGCACTTGGCGCCCCGCATAAGGGCTCCAGGTGTGTATGGCCCCCCCCCTCCAGGTTACACCACGGTAATTCCAGGGGGGTTAACGTACATTCGTACCATCAACCCTTGGACAGCTCACCCCGAAGCAGGCAATACATGAAAACACGTCGGATCGCATGCCGTCGTTTTTTTATCGTACAACAACGCCAGTGTACCGTAAAACGTACCTCGATGTACGATGGTTGGATGCAAGTACGTGAGTCCTTTTGCGATTTGGATAGCGATCGTGAGGACCTGTCAGCAGCAGTGCACACATACATACATACATACACACACATACATACACAAGTGCATTCTGATGCCGCAAGTCCAAGACCCACTTGGAAAGGATTGGAGGATGCGGGGTTACGTGGGGTACGTATGCGACTGCGAAATAGTGTCGGTGTGGATGTCGGTATGGATGTCGGTATGGATGTCGGTGTGGATGTCGGTGTATGGGCACGTAATGCACGCAACTCTGAAAGTGAGAGCATCTAGAAAATATAGATTTTGCAACAAAAAGCAAACACAACATAATTCTGAAGTCCCAATTTGCTGGGCTCTCCAGTGCTGACCAGTGCTTCGTAAGGCTGCTACAAAGCACCTACTTACATATGGCCCTTGTCAGGTGAACAAACACGTACAAAGCCGAACGGCAAAAGGCAAATTGGACAACTACACATCGGAGTAGTTAATGGCGTAGGTGTTTTGATAGGGTTAGATCGTTTTGGCAGCACGCTTTTTGAAATGACCATCTGCGGACGGGTAACTACGGCTGTTCGTTCGTATACCCATGTACGGCATGTGAGCTTACCGCATCCAGGGGCAGCAGTTTAGGTTTCCGTGAAACACTGTCGTACAGCATTCGATCCAGGGATGTCTCCATGCGCTCCATCACCAGGCAGTATGTTGGCGGACTGCAGAGGTCAGAGGTCAGAGGTCGGGGAGTTACCCGGGGATGCGTCCTCACCACCCTCCTCCTCCTCACGACCCTCCAGGGCGCTCTTCTAGAGCAGAGCATATATATATATATACCGTCTGACCGTCTGAGCAACCTTGGCCGGTTGGTTGGCGAGTTGGTTGGCGAGTTGGTTGGCAAGTAGGTTGAAATGGTAGGGAGGTAGGATGCTTTCGGAGATTCTGACATCTCCTTGCCCTCCTCCTGAGATTACCCCATCGCCCTTCCAAAAATTTCATCTGTTACCTAGGACACAGCAGAACCCTGAGTACCCCCCGCACACGCACATACCGCGTACCTCAAGCAGGCGGCCAACAGACGCACCACATTGGGGTGTTGACACCTGCGGGGCCGTGAACACAACGGAGGGGCAGGGCCAGGGTGGAGGGAGGGAGGGAGGGAGGGAGGGACGGAGTGCGGGAAGGAGAGGCGAAATGTGGTGTTGTGTGAGTGATGCAAGTGTGTCACTGCCTTCAAGAGGGTAGGCAGCTGGGAATAACAAAGCCGGGGGCACCCCCCAGCTGGGAAGAGAGCTTCGCGCCACAGAGGGAGGACACCGATGAGGCCGGGACACACGACAAGAGGTGCGCGAGATTAACTCAAGTAAAACCCTAGGCAGCTAAGAAGAAACTTCTCCCTCCACCCCTCTCGCTCCCCCTTCACCCCTCTCGCTGGTGCTAGTCTATGGCCCTGCTGCTGCTTCCCCTTCTGCTGTAGATGCTAAAGCCAGCAATTTATTCCGGTGGCTGCGTGAGGCGGTCATCGTCTCACCACATATGGGGCTATGCAGGGCATTCGCGGCAGTTACCGAGGCACCTGCGTTTTAATCACTCACTCCCATGACGTACACAGTACGAACATGCCATCGATCAACTCAAGTGCAATCCCTAATTCAACAATACTTTTAAAAAAAGTATATATATGTATTGAAGTATGTATGTATTGAAGTATGTATGTATTTTGAAGTGTGTATGTATTGTAGTATGTATTTTTCATGTTTAATTTGATCTCGTTGCGCGATAAGACGGAGGCAACACAACGAGGAGACGATTGCATCGGTGCAAGTAGTGGTGGTGGTGGTGCTGCACTCCCACCTTGCCAGTATCTCCACTTCCTGCTTCAGCGCCAGCTCCAGGTTTGGTGCAAGCTGTAGCTGTGGGGGTGGTTGTGGAGGGTCAGGTGTCATTGCAGCATCGGGACCTGCTACTGCCGCTGGCTCCTCCTCTTGACGGGCTGGCGGCAGCGGCGGCAGCGGCAAGACGACACCGTCGCTGCCCGCATGTGTGGACCTGCCGCCATTGCTGCCGCCACTCGTGGGTGTGTCCAAGGACACCGCACTAACCAGGCTGCATGATGCGACCAAGACCGACGCCTCGGCCACCTCGGCTGGGCTCCTTACAGCGGCGGCCATAACGGCAGGGATGCACTGCTGTACGTCAACGACGCCGACGGCGCCGTCGTTGGCAGTAGCAGTGACGGGCGACGACGGCGACTGTCCGCTGCCATGAGGAAGGGCAGCCGCGGAGGCTTCATGTGGAGCAGTAGCAGCAGAAGGCATGGGAGACGCAGCAGTGCTACAGTCCCTGCCGCCAGCGTCGACGTCGCTGGCATCATAACCAAGTCTATCCACACCAACACTAGTCTTCACCGCACCCATCGCGGCGGCGGCGGTGGCAGCTGCGGCGACGGCGCCGCTGCCGACCTGGAGGTCTTGGTCCAGGGAAGCGACAACCCTGCCGCCGCCGCCATCGCCGGGGCTGCCGCGGCCGCCGTCTCCGGGGCTGCCGCCGCCGCCATCGCCGGGGCTGCCGCCGCCGCCATCGCCGGGGCTGCCGCGGCCGCCGTCTCCGGGGCTGCCGCCGCCGCCATCGCCGGGGCTGCCGCCGCCGCCATCGCCGGGGCTGCCGCCGCCGCCATCGCCGGGGCTGCCGCAGCTGCCGTCGCCGGGGCTGCCGCCGCCATTATGGCCGGCCTGGTGTACGGCTACTGCTGCCGCTGCGACCGCCACGGGCCGCCATTGCCCCAGCAGTCCGTGGTCAATGATCTTTACAGCAACCCGCACGCCGCCGTACACTCCCGCAACCACGCGGCCAAACGCGCCCTTGCCTAACGTGACGCTGGACAACTGAAGCTCGTCGGCGCCGTCACCTAGTCGTACATTGAGGTTTATGCCCGGGTGCAGCGGCGTCAGCGGGGTCACCGGCAGCAGTGCCGCGTCCTCCGCCACGTGACCCAACGACGATATAGAGCCCAGGCACAAGCTACGCTGGCTGCCGTCACCGCCTACGTACCGTCTAGGCAGCGCTGTCGCCGCCAGTTCACCGTCGGCATCACCATTCTCCACATCAGTAACAAGGACAGGGTTTGCCGCCGCTGCCGATGGCGATGATGGAGGCGCAGCAGCAGCAGCGGCTGCTACCACATGTTTGGGATGCTGCTTTCGCTGCTGAACGTTTGCTGCCGCCGCGGCATGAGGCCCTCCTGCTGCTGCTGCTGCCCTCGCCGCACACAGCCCTAGGCCCAGGTAAGGGTACGCGCCTTCAGGAAATTTGCTGCCCAGGTCATCCACCGACAGTGATTCTCGTTTGGGGCGCCCTGAAGCGCTGTTCGTTGTTGCATGTCGGCAAGAAAGGCACAGAAGCAATGAAGACACAGGAGTAATGAAGGCAGGCAGGTTGGACAGATGGATGATGGTGTGGGGGCTCAGGCAGGTTGTGACAGGCTGAAGCAAAAATATCGGGTAAGGATGGGAAGCGGTGACATGTCAGTGAGCGGACATATGTGGTATTCCCAGTCGAGTGGTGCAAATACTCTTCGGTCAAAGCAGCCCTCAAGACCTCTTACCTTTCGGCCGGGGATCGCTCCAAGCCAGAAGCATAGACAGAAGGACTGGATGGTGGGTAAACGGCCTTTGGAATGCCGTACTTGCGGCGGCGACGCCGCAACCGTACGACAAACACTGCAACGGCTGCGGTTAGGGTGAGCAGCCCTGCACCTGTCAGCCACAAACGGCCAGGAACGAAGGGTTTTAGGGTTTTGAAGGGTTTTAGGGTTTTAGAGTTTCTTCACGGCCCACGGCCTAATCAGTACTGTATTCCCAAACTGTGCAGCTAGGTCAGGTCTTGGCCTTTTATCACACCCCCTTACCGCCGATGATGCTGCCCAAAAGGGCGGCTAGGCGATGCCTGGACTCTTGCGGCGCCCGACCGGCGGCGGCGGCGGCGGATGAGCCGGCCAAGGTGGCGGGTCCCGGGGACTTCAGTTGCCGGATTGGCGGCGACTGCGCTACGTGTGAATTCGTGGTGTACGTCAAGCAGCCTATGTAGCCGTACTTTTCGATGCACGCGTCCGACAGAATATCGAGGCATAATGCCTGCGTGTTCAGCGCATGTACCTGCAGCAGCAGCAGCAGCAGCAGCAGCGGGGGGGCACAATTGTTTAATATTCTCACATTAAAAAAACGCAGCATTACTTCACTTTTACAATGTATAACACCCACACACACACGCACATTCTGCTCCCAGAGGTTCCGGGTTCAAATCCGCCTGCCGACCCCTCGGTGTGTGAGGGGTGTTGAAATGGGAGGTGGCCCCCCATCTTGTGGACGGTGTAGGACGCGATTACATCAACTTGTGAGCTGACCAGGAACTAAGTTGAGGCGCCGATGATCCGCTAGATTTGGTTGGATGCTGGTGGTGAGTTGCTGAACCCAACGAATACATTCTGAAGTCGGATGGGGTGAATGGATTAGGGTGCCCCTCTCGCAGGGGAGAGCAGGGAACTGCCTCCAAGGGAAAGGGGGCCACTGGTGAAGCTATACCACCCTGTAACAACATCATACATACATACATACATACATACACTTCATGCAATAAATAAGAAACTGACCACCTTGTGGACGATTGCACATAGGAGCCCGCTTGGGTTACTTAGGCACCCCCACATGCCCCGAGGCTATCCGTGGTTTTCAGATTCGGGAATCTATAGGGGTACGGGTCTGGTCAAGGCACGTCCGCAGCGCAGGGCATCCAGCCGCACGACGTGGTGTCGTCTCTAAATCTCCCCTTTAATTGCAGTACACGTATACGACATTCCGCCTTATGTACGGTACGGCATTGCTGCCTCCGCAAACTCTACCCAATCTTACCGGGTACTTGAAACCGTAACTCGGGGTTAGGTCATCATTCATGTCGCCGCCGTACACAGCAATATCGACGTACAGAATCACGTGCTTGAAGCAGCCGTACCGCGACAATGGTCCTTTGCTGTCACCGCCGTTGAGTGGGGGTATAGCCCCCTCACTCCCCAACGGCGCGACCGCGGGCGCAGCGGGAGGGCTGTAGTTCGTACAAGTGTACGGTGATGGGTACGGCAGTATGTAGGCCATCTTTCCGGGCACCTCAGCTGGTCGACTAACGTTGAAGGCTGTCCTGCAGTGCCGTACAACATGACCCGCCGGGAACGGGCCATGGGTTGGTCAGTATGAGGCGGCGGAAGAGGTGTTGTAACGTTGGCGGGGTGTGTACGGGATAGTGGTAGATGGTGAGGACGACACAGCATCTGGCGTACATATACATGCGATTTTGAGCTTGAGGATTTGTTCTTGCTGTGACCACACAGAACAATCACCAACACAAACACGTAATACATAATCCACATGCAAAAGGCAAAAGGTTGAGACGCATTCACAGCCGATTATCCACATATGTACGACATTGGGATCGTACGTTGTAGTACGTACGTAGAAAGCATATTATGCCGCACCTGGCAACTGATTCCGGGAAGCAGAGCTTGTACAAAATGTAGCAGTCCTTTATCTCGATTATGGCAACACGGCCGCCGGCATCAGGCTCGACACTAAGGATGTCAAACCCCGGCTGCTGTGTGGCAGACCCGCGACGACAGTTGAGCAAGAAGAGGTTTCGGAACACCAGCAGTATGTGGCCCTTGAGCACCAACTGCACCAAAGGAAAATATGATAAGGCGACGACGACGACGGGCAGGGGCAGGGGCACGCAGGCAGGCTAAAGCCGATGAACAAATGCGGTTCACACGCAGGTTATCATCTTTATCTAGTTAACCGTAGTCCAGGCCTGCTGCTCCTGCTCTTGCGGGCAGCAGTAGCAGCAGCAGCAGCACCCGCAAGTCCAGCCACGTGCGACCGAGCGCGTCTCGAAGACGCAGAAGAATGCACAACAACAACAACAACAACAACAACAACAAGAACACAACAACAACAACAACAGGAGGATGGAGGTCTCCTGGGAAGCCTCTACCAGGGCAACGAGTTTGCCGGTGGCTGTGCCGGTGGCTGTGCCGGTCCTCTCTGACATCCCCCCACCCTCATATTGTGAAAAATAATGAAAGAGGTATTTTGTAAGTGTGCCTGAGTCTGGTGATAGGGGTAAAAGTGGTGATGCAATCAAAGGAAAGCAGCTGCTTGATTATTTACTTTTGGCCGGTTTTGACACAGGGACCGGCCCTACTTGAGCTGGCTTGATGTTGAGCATGGTTGTAAAGTGTGAGTGGAGAGTTTTTTCGTGGATCACGTCGCGTGAGAACATTGGGAGGGGAATGGCTTGTCCCTGTTTTCCGCTTCTGCTGCTTCTTGCTCCCGCTGCGGCAGGGGTTATTGTGCCGGATGCATGTCAAGGTGTTGGATGAGGTGATGGATGTACGGTGGTTTAGGCTGGCTAGCTGCTAGCTAGTTGGATGACGGAGGCGAGAGGTGAGCAACATTTGCCCCCCGGGTATCTGGTTTTGACTTGTGGCACATGTGCGTGGATCAAAGCACCGGGGCTCCTACAAGCTATGTGTGCTCCTTGTACTACCATCCCACATCGGACTCTGTTGTGTACGGCGTCCTTGCGCTTTGTGGTTCACTTAGTTATCTCAAGCGCCTTGGGTCGTGAGGGAGCAGAAATGTCCCCACCTCCGCCTTAACCAGCTGCTAGGAAAGCTAAGCGGCCAGCGGAGAGCCAGGCACAATTTCCGTGGTGCATATTTATTCTCGCTTTCACGCTGCGCGTGCTGTACGACACGTGACGCCGCGTACGCGTCGAATTCTTGTGCGTGCTGTGACGGAGGCGTGAAATCGATTGCCCAAATATGCTCGTCGCGATAATTCTTCCAAAACGTGACTATTGATTCTGTGTGGGGTTGCTTCACTCACCTTCGCACGAAGGTAATTCATATCCAGCACTAGCGGCCAGCTGGCCTCCAGTCCTCTTATGGTGAGATTCCTTTGGACAATGATTGCTTGCGATGAATTCAGGCCTGCGAAGTCGCTTTCAGCCAATATTATGTCTTCCAGCAGCACTGCCTCCCTAATATTGGGGTTCGCGAAGGCAAGCGCCAGCTCCCGGCCCGTGCGGCATTGCACCTCCTGCTGCAATTCCAGTAAGCCAAACTGAGCTCCGTCGGCTTGTAAAAGCGCGAGGTTTGCAACGTACAAAACCAATAAGCTAAGCCTCAAACGCGGTGTTGACCACATCACGCCCTGTATCTAACGAATATGGATAAAGAATAGACAGTTGGTGCAACATGCGCTGTGGACCAGCTATCTCTGTCGATTATTGTCAAGGTTGTAAGCGGGGCATGCTTGGACTGAGCAAATCAGAGCTGCGTTACAGGTATCCTTTGTATGACTTCATTGTTTGCCCTGTGTTTTGGTACAAATCTAGCAACTCCAACAAAACAGTCATATTTGTGTCAGCACCGTAGCTGTACTACTAGGGTATACGGGTTGTATAGCCGTCTTGATGCCTACAAGCAGCACAACTGACTTTGGGGAAGTTTATACTTGTATGTACGCTCAATTCTGCTGAGAGGCATCTGTACTCCAGTTCGTATCCACATTTTGCGTTTGGGACTCGCTTGCCGGTTCATTTCAAAGTCGCTGCCCAACCAATGCAAGTGGCTCCGCTGTTTTCCATCCCCGCCTGTTTGCTATGATTCGCCCAGTGAGATTGGTCCTCTCGGCACTGGTGGGCTCCAAAAACTTCTCACGGCTGTCCCCCAGTGTATCCAGGGGAACGATGACCAAATTGCCATGTCGGTAAGCATATTCCCTCAGGTACATGCTGGCTTCATTAGCAAATTCGACGTGGACAAGGGTTGTAGAGGTATAGCGCGTGGCCCCAGTCAGGTAACACGACATACAGGGTGCATACGCGCTCCTAACGCAGGAGTGTGTTCATTGAAAAGGAGGGGTACATCAGCCAAAGGCGAGTTACATTGCCCGCCTCGGTTTTGGTGGAGGATTGCCATAGGTGTGTCACAAGAGAAGGTTCTGAAGCACGGTTACCCTGTATTTCTATCTTCGCCGTAACCTTCAGGGTGAGCATACTAGATGAAAACGATAGTGCCCACATATTACGGTAACCATTTATAAGCCGAACACGCATCTCGCTCGGTCCAAATTAGGCACAGAGCTACTGCAAGACCACATTCATTCCTGCAGATATTACATCGGGTAGTCCAAAGGACTACTTCTTTTGTGCGACCTGACGGCCGCACCGCAGGTATCCTTCCGAACTTCAAAGGGAAGCCAATCGCCGACAACTGTTTTTCGCTGGAGCCTGATGCTATGAAGCCAGCTTCGATAGATGTTTATCGTTGATTGCATAATTGAAACACACAGAGTCCATTCATTGCCTCAGCATGCTGCCTTTCAAATCCAAGCGTCTCCGCCGCTATACACCAACAACCGCTCAGCGAACGTAATGTCTTCATAATCAGCTCATAGGCACACAACGGCGGTCGACAGCCTTAAAAAGCAGGTATATGTGCCAAACGTTGGCCTGAGTGCTATACATAACATCTCAGGTTTGCTTTCGCCTCGGCTACGATTTCTCGCTTGGACATCACAGAAATGCACTAGACTCAAGCATTTAATAGAATCGTTGCAGGTATAAAAGCAACTCTGCCAGGGGATGCAGCGGAACGGTTGTACGTGTCGGACGAGCGCGCCCAGGCTCGTACCAGGCTCGCCTGGAAAAGAATTGTCAAAAGCTTGGGATGGAGATTTGGTCAAGTGTTACTGCATTTCTCTCAAGTAACGGTTAAATTTGCGACGACTTTACTAATGGCACCTTCTTTACGAACGCTTGATATCAAACATGAAGATTTTATTTTGGATGCTGTTGATATCGTCTTATCGCCGGAGAACTTGGCCAATACTTTGTTGGAATTCCGTCGTACTTTGTCGCGCATGTGGAGACTTCGGTGGGATAACGAGCATAAAGAAGCCTTTTGGAGGCTGGCTCTTGATGGTTTCCCTGCCTTTCCTATGCATAGGGCGCAACGTCAAAGAGGTATCCCGGCTGCTATGTGCCCCTGTGGTGTACGCATGCTTTGTGGGGATCGTCGGCATCATTTCTGGGATTGTACTGTCGCGTTGGCTCTTCGTGAAGCTCTGCAAAACGAACTTGAGTTCCCTGACCTTTTCAACCGGGCTAACCTGTGGTTGGGCATTCCACCAACCTGGATTTGTTCGTGTGTATGGGAGGTTGTATGCCTCGCGGCCATCAGCTCACTCAATCTCGGTCGCCGTTTGTTGTTTAAGGAAGGTCTCCAGACCAACATGCCTATATCAACGCCATCGCTTAACCGCATTACATACGAGGTTATCTCTGACTTTTGGGCCCGTTTAACTGCTTTTGCGGCACGGGATTACTTGCCAAAACATTGGGATCATGTACCTCACAATCACCCTTTCTTATATGTCAATGACGCAGACATGGTTGCTTGCCGTTTACCGATGTACAATGACGAAGTTTGAGGGCGCACGTCGGAGCCTCAATTTTTTGTTTAAGCGTACTAACTGAGGCCGTGTGTCCAGTGAAGTTAGTACGGCCTGGCCGAGTTCTTTTTGAATAAGGCCCACAGTGTTGTGCGGGAGGCGTTCCTATGGGCGCTGCACTCGACCCGTTCGGGGTCCACTGTAACAATCGCATCTCGCGGAGGTTAAGGAGGGCGTAGGCTAAGGCATACATCGTGTACACGTGTTTTCGCTGTGTCGACTCCTGCGGTGCTGTGACAACACTTACATGTGTACGGTCGATGCGGCATTATCGCCCGGCCGGAAACCGATTAGGAGTCCGAGAATATGTACCCTGAGTACCGGCCCTCTGTCGCGCGTGGCCTCGGATGACTTGTTGCGTCTTGTCTCTTGTTGAAATTATAGTTATTAATGTTTGGGAAAGACCTTTGTGGTAATGGTGAGCTGAATCTATGTGCCATATTGATCGGGCAAACAGCGTCGACGCCTGGAAATGTGCCAGACGGCAACCGCTCTGGGATTTTCCTGCCATATTAAAGTTCTCGCCCCTAACTCGATAGTTTTCTAACGGAGTCGGACCACCAGTGACTAGCCGAACCGTAAATTCACCCAATGTACAGTTAAGGGGCAACGGGGGCAAACCTTGGACAGTTTTGAACACGGGATAGGACTGGCCATGATTCAATCACTCTCAGGCAGAAATTCGGCTGACTGAGAGTTATAAACGGAAATTTCAACCTCACGGCTAATACGAGTTAAATCACCATTTCCTTTAAAATGTAGTTTACAGGAGGTGAATTTGCCGTGGGTATTGCAAATCAGATAATCGTATGGAATTATGTTGCTGTAAGGGGGGTGGGAACAGTGGGAGAAGAAACTGTCGTCAGTGGCAGACAGGCCGAGCTAGGCCACTCTGTCCACACATAGCAGCCGTTTCCCTCGGGTGCACGGAGTGATTGGGCAGTGCTTCCTTTTATGATGTTGGCGTTCAGAGTGATATCAGCCTCGTCGATGCAATGGGTATGATCGCGGCCATGAATAGCGTGTACGACAAACCCGGGTGCACCACAGTCGTACAAGGGGGGTTGCGGTGGCTTCCGCAGATATCGCGGGTTGAGCAGAAGGCAGGAGCGTTCAAGATGAAAATCCAAAGTCTGTGGTGTGTAAGCCCCGTGGGCCCCCGGGCAAGTGTTGGCCCGACGTGTGTCCCGTCGGGCGTTATGCCGCATCGGAAGGTGAAGCACACACACACACATATGTAATATGGTACACATACTCACACAACAGCGCTGATACACACACACACACATACACACACACACACACACACACACACACACACACACACACACACACACACACACACACACACACACACACACACACACACACACACACACACACGTTACCTGCTCTGACAAGGACCAGGGCGCCGCAGACGTATGCCCCTGTGTGTATGGCCTTTGCAAATGCCCTTGCATGCCTCCCATGCCACCTGCACACATCTTCCGAACAAAACCAGCTACCTTCCACTGCTGTTGCTGCTGCTGTTGCTGCTGCTGTTGCTGCTCCGCCAACATCCGCCTATGATTTCCTTTGTTCGCATCAGGTCAGTAGTCAATAATCCCGCATGCACGGAAGGGTGCTTGCTTTTCGTCGGCAGCGCACACACAGCCGACGAAATGCATGGCCCGCCCCCTGCCCTTGTTGTCCGCCAGTTAGCTAGTTACGACCGGACCAAAGGTCCTCTGCTCAACTGCTCATTAGCCGGGACGCAAAGTCCTTACTCCGTAGCCTGTAGTAGCCAATAGCGCCGCAACCGGTGCCGCTCTGGCGTCTCCCTTCCTGTCTACATCTTCAAAATCTCAGCTGTTTTTCCAGGACTTCATTATTACCGGACGACTGCTTGCCTTCGGTAAAGCGCTGCATACTGTGACTTCCTTCTTCTGTATGTACAATGTGTGAAACAGGGGGGTATATCTTGGCCCGTGGCAGCTACCCTGCGAAACCCTGCCTTCCCCGGTATTTCGGGGCACCCTCATCCAGTCACCCTAGTCAACTTCTGAGTGGATTGCTCAGGTTCCGTACCCACCACCAGCATCCAACGGAATCTGCCAGGTCGACAGCGGCCCAACTCCATTCCTGGTCGGCTCGCAGGTTAACTTTATCCCAGGTCACCACCGTCCATCAACTAGGGGCGCAATACCTTCCACCATCGGAAGGATTTATGACCCTTACGGGTAACGAGTCGAGGGGATAACACCGCACAAGTCCGCGCCCTTCCACAGCACTGGGTCTAACTTGAAAAGCACTCAAACGGGAGGACCCTGCGGCAACGCCGGGCGATCAAGCCTCCGAAAACCACAGGGGGGGAGGGTAGCCAGCTCGGCGCCCCCCCATTACCGCTCTACCAAGACGGCTGGTTTCCAAGATCCTATCTCACCTAGACGCCGCAGCACGCGAAACCCGGTCTCGTACCCTGAAGAACCTAGTCCTGCACCACGCGCGCACCTACGAGTATGGCCCCTCCTGGGTGCCCACCTCCCCCTCATCCGCGCCCTCGCTACGGCCACCTGTTCCCACTCACCACCCCTCAACCCTACATCCTCTTGGTGCTCTCTCTGCCTCTTCCCCTCCCCCCCCGGCTCTCCCCGCCCTTTCCCCGGTCTCCCCCCCCCTCCGCCGGTACGGCTCCCCCAGGCAAATAAACC